GGGGAGGGAGGGGATGGGAGGAAGCCAGGGTCGTTTGTATGTATGTTGTGCATGCGTTGCGTTCGGATTCCTGGCGCACGGCAAGAATAGACGAGAGGTGAAAAACGGGGCGGTGGCAGCGAGCAGGGATATGGGGCAGGCAGGCAGGCAGGTAGGCAGGGGAAGGGATGGGAGAGAGAGAGAGAAATGGGGAGGAAATGTAGATGTTGCAAAACAAGTTGCAACATGACGTTGCTTGCGTGATGATCAGACAACCCTCCGGTCAGGTTGGGAATCATGGTAAGGGAGGGAGCAGCAAAGTCGTCTCAGCAGCAGCAGGCCCCACGGGCGCGTGCGCGCGGGTGGGGGCAGGAATGCTTGCTTTTTCGTTCCTTTTTCTGTTCCTTAAAGGACAACGGGAGGGAGATCTATGCTACGTGTATCATTTTTGTCGAGATCTGCTCTGGCTTCGGGAAGTGGAGCATCACCGTCTCGAGCTCTGAACACGATCTCTGGTCTACCCGTTTCCGTTGAGTATTTTCGTAATCCCCGACACCTCTAGTTTGATTGTACATTTCAGATTGGCGCGACACTCACGTTGTTAGGGCGTCAATGTCGACGTCCTCGACCCTCCACATGTACCACATGAAAAGGCTCCTGTGTTTGGGAAATTCTCTAGTTAGTAAAAATGGATATTCGAATGTCTCGCCTTGCCCGCTCTTCGAGCAAGACAACGCCTCACTTGTGATTCCAACCCGTGACAAGCAATCGCCCCCAAAACGCCACGAAGGAAAAGAAAAGAAAAATCAGAAACAGAGGAAAGAGGGAGTGCAATACGGTCAAGGCGAAACTAGGGCGGCGGGAAATGAAGGAATGGTCCATTGGCCGCAGAAGAAGTGAAGCATCGATAAAATCGAGCTGATCCTGACCAGTGTTCCAACATCTCCAATATGGAATTCTGGGGCAGTAGCTCGTGCGTTCGTATGATAGGAAAATCCGAGAGAAATGCACTTACCTGTAAGGCGCAAACTTTGCGGAATGCTCCAGCATCTCCTTCTCGCCCAGGTATTTCCATTTTCCTCCCTTGCCACTGGACTTCAATTTCGCAACATCCTTACCCAACCACGCGGCCATGCCTCTCTGGACACCGAGATCTCCGGTGCTGAATACATCCATGCGCTTCAAGGCGAAACAAGCAAACATCTCGACGCTCCAGCGACCGAGGCCGCGCACGGCGATTAGCCGCTCGATGACCTCGGCGTCGGACGCCTGTACCAGCATCTGCGCGGATAGCTCTCCAGACGCGAACTTCTCGGCCAATCCCTTCACATACTCGGCCTTGCGTCCGGAGAGGCCCGCAGTGCGCAGAAAGGAAATGTCTGCGGCGGCAACTGAGGTGGGATCGGGAAAGAAGGTAGGGGAGTCATTAGTGTTGGGGAAGAGGGCGATGAACTTGTTCCTGATGGATTTGGCTGCCGCACCCGATACCTGTAGAACTTTATTAGCACTCGTCATCTACTTTAGCAACGCCCTGGAAGGCGTGTATCGGGGGCATTGAAAAGAACCATCAAGCCGAGCCCGCCGCAAGTTGAACATGGTTGTCCCCAGTGATCAAGAAAGGCGACGAAAGAAAACATCATCGCCAACTCACCTGCTGCGCCAGGATCCCGCTCACCAACGCCTTGAACGGATCGACATCCTCCTGCAGGCCCTCGGGCGAGAAAATCTTACACGGATGCTTCTCGATAACCACCTTCAGCCTCGGATCCACACGGATCAAATGCTCACACGCCCTCTCGAGCAGGTTCTCCGTCGTCGTGTCGGGCAGCACCGTCGCCGCGCCGGCAATGGCTTCCGCCAGCGCGACCTCGCTCGCCTCGGGCACGTCGGCCGAGTAGGCGACCATGCGCGACCCGCCCGGCGTCGACAGCGGCGCGTTGGTGGCGTGCGGTTCTGCGAGGCGCGGCTTCGTGGCGCGGCGCTTGATGGGAGAAGCTGCGTCTGCGCCGCCGTTGAGCGGGGAGGACGACGCCATCAGCCCGACGGCTGAGGGCGTGGGGGTGAAGGGTGGGGGCTTGGTTGGAGATGGGTCATCCTGCTTGGCGGTGGTGGTTTTGCGGCGCTTGATGGTGGGCGTGAGGGGGGTGACGAATGCGCTGGTTTCGGCGTTGATGGTTACGGGTGGTTCGGCGGGTGATGGGCTGAGATGGTTGTTGTTAATTGGCTGTGCAGCTGAGTCGGCGCTCTTTGAGGGTCGGCCGCGTTTCTTGCTTGAGGGTTGAACCGCGGGAGGGGGGTCCTTGGCCTTCTTGTTCGTTTTGGATTTCGGAATAGGGGCTTCGGCTTGGATATCAGGAATGGCTGGACTAGCAGACTGATTGGCTTGGATGCGGGCAGATCTTCTGGCGGACGACATAGTGGCAAAACGAGCCAAGTGATTCCGCTGGCTGGAACGAAAAAGTGCGGTGATTGTGAGTGGGCGGGTAGACTTGACGCGTAAGAAAAGCAAATGCGTGGATGTGGTGGAGGGGAGGAGTCGAAACATGGAAAGGTGGTCGACGCGGTAAGGTTCAAGTCGCGACAAGAATGACGTTGTAGCGGGGAGCAGGCTCTCGCGAAGTCACATGGGCTGCTGTTGCCTGGAATCGGTTCCGTAAGCTGCCTCATCCTTGGCGTATTATTAATTGCCGTCTCTGCGCTGGTTGGTTGGATGACCTTGTACCTGCGGGTGGACGGAAGATGATGGGGAATAGGAGCCAGATGCAATTATCCGAACCGTGGCTCCGGGCGAACCACGACGCTCCAACCCGAGTCAATGCCATGTATACAACGTCGAAACGCGATTCCAAAGTGCGTGCTCAGAAATGGCTCGAGAGCATTCATGTATTTCCGGCTTGGCAATTACATCAATTGAATGTGTTTTTGATTTGCTGCGACAGCACTTGCCTGGCCATGCACTTCCGCTTCCCGAGAATTGGCTCAGCTGAGCACATGCGAACGTCGCGTGGCTGCGCAAGTCCATGCGTGCACCTGAAAGGAGATTAAAAAAAGGCCTTCCCTTCATCGTTTCTCTTTGGTAGTGTACAGTCTAAAGCACACGGACTGCGGCGACACCTGTTCTGGCTAGCACCTTCTGTCTATACAAATGTGCTCTTGTTCATCTTCTGCTGATCCGCGCGTGGTATTTACGACCTCTTTGCCGGCTTCTTGATGACCATAGCCTCCAGATCCTCACGCTCCTTAAGCTCGGCCTCGATCTCCTGGATGATGGGGGTCAGGTAGGGAGTGTCCTGGGAGGAGTTAGCAAGTCGCGTATTCTCCCCAATGGCAGATCCAGTCCATTGCATACCTCCTCGGGCTTGGTCTGCTGCTCCTTGGGCAGGAGCTGGTGCGCGAGCGAGCACTTTATTTCCATTAGCCAATCATCCCCACCCGTTGTTCCTGCCATGTTCATCGTACCTGGAAAGCGCGACGCATGCGGAAGACACGGTCGTAGGCCTCCTTGGGAGGGAGGCGCTTGAGAGCCAGCTGGACCGTCTCAGACTCCTCGGGAATCAGGTCATCGGCCCTACGGAGCGAAAGGCGTTAGAGACGATCGGCCATGTCGGGAATTGAGAGTTTGCGGAGGGGACGAGGAGGGCCAGCAGCAGGCCATTGGTTGCTGGAGAGGAAGGCATACCTCAGACCGAGCTTGCGGTGACCGGCGAGCTGCAGTGCGAGATGGGTCAGCGGTGCAGGCGGAGCTGGGACAGCGGGCGACGGGGACGCACGTCAGTGTACCAGTTGGAGAGCGGCTGGATCCACCCGCGCAACCAGGGGCGCTTGACGATGAAGCTGGCGACGGACGGGGTGCTCATTGTGGCGATGTGCGGCGGGGGAGGCGTAGGAGTGGAGATGCGGGCGTGCTCGAGGCTCTGCGGCTGGTAGCAAATGCCCGTCAGAAGTTCGACGTCGACACCGGGCGAGGAAGGGCTTGGCGTCAGGGCTTCGCGCGCGTGCTCATTGGGCAACTGACGCCAGCCAATCAGCACGCCCATCAGACCCGGCCGATCTCGCATCCGCCTCTAAGCGTGCGCGCCAATCCAATCGGGGCGGTGGCCGCCCTTGTGCTGGGACTTGCGACGCATGACCGGCCATGGATTATGGATTAATTTCTTAGCTCCAATTCCGGGCACCCCCACCCACCTTCTGACGTCCACCGCGCCCGCGCTCCAGATCATTATTGTCCGCAACACACGCCGGGACGCGGTACTCCACCAAACCACCTCCATTTACGTCGCCCGTCCGCCGTGTGCCCCGCGCTGCCAGTACCATCCGCCGCCGCTATTCTACCCACCTCTGCCGACTCGCTATCCTCAAGCCTTCGCAGATTGTCAATGGATACCACCGTCAACCGCTGACCCTCAAGTGCCGCGGGGCCGCACACTGCGGAGGCGCCTACACCGGGAGGTGCGGCTCCATTACTTGAGAGTGCATGCGACCAAGAGCGCCGACGACTCACTAAATCCCAGGCGCACCTGCCAAAATGACGACTCCACCCTCCACCGCGCCTGCGCCCACCACCGCCGCCGACCACAATGGCCGCACAATGCCGAAGAGCGTAGCCGTCTATTTCTCCCGTCTGCCGCCATCTTCCATCAATAGTTTCTGCGGCGCTATGGCCGGCGTAGCTTCTGGCATTGTAACCTGCCCGCTCGACGTCATTAAGACGAAACTGCAAGCACAGGGGGCCTTCCGCCGCCCTAACAACGGCGCAAAGCTCTCGCCCTCTAAAGCACTATACCACGGCCTGTTCGGGACAGCGAGAGTGATTTGGCGCGAGGATGGCGTGCGTGGCATGTATCGAGGTCTCGGCCCCATGCTGCTCGGATACCTCCCAACATGGGCGGTGTACATGAGTGTGTACGAAGGGTCCAAAGACCTCTACTACAACAACATAGGTGCGTCATCGGCTGTGCTCTGTGCCTGTGCATCTGACTGACTCCCGACGAGACAACAAGTGGCTCGCCCGCGTCTGCGCGTCCATCACGGCCGGCGCCTGCTCCACCATAACAACAAACCCCATCTGGGTCATCAAGACCCGCCTCATGTCGCAGGTCAGCTCACGCGCTTCTGAAGACGCGCGGCCCCCCTGGCACTACAAAGGGACTCTGGATGCCGCCCGCAAGATGTACCGTACTGAGGGGATTCTGGCTTTCTACTCTGGTCTGGGCCCGGCTTTGCTTGGATTGACACACGTTGCGATCCAATTTCCTCTCTACGAATACTTCAAGACGCAGTTCACAGGACTGGAGATGGGCCAGAACATGGCCGGGGAAAGCGACACGCACACTATTGGCATCCTGGCGGCCACTTTCCTCAGTAAGATTTGTGCGACGTCTGCAACATACCCACACGAGGTTCTCAGAACGCGCCTGCAAACACAGCAGCGCACTCTACCATCACACTCGCACGAGGACATTTCTTTCAGGGGCGCACTGGATGCGCGGAATGCCAAGAGACATCCGCAAGGTGCTGCATCCTCCGATGGCATGGTCAACTTGCCCCGGTACCGCGGCCTGATAAGGACATGCAAAACAATTCTTCGGGAAGAAGGTTGGCAGGCGTTTTACAACGGTATGGGAACGAACATGGTTCGTGCTGTCCCAGCAGCAATGACTACAATGTTGACGTTCGAGATGTTGAAGAAAGCGTGCTATGAGGTGCAGAAAGCAGGGTCGGCGTCGTTAGACGAGGATTGAACACCCAATTAACAAGCGGTGAAAACTTGCAATGCGGATACCCACAAAGCGTGGTTTCGTTCAAGCGCGCGGCATCCGGCAGGCCCCGCATGTTTGGTTCGTATGTCTGTATATACGCTGCATCGCGAACGTGCCTGCACCTTCACGTGTTTGTCTGGGCCTCCTGGAGTTTCGGGCGATTCAGAGACCTGAAACCCCTAGGATAGCTCCATGCCCTCCTTCTTTGGCAATTCTTTTCCTATCCTTTTCGATTTTCCTTTCCGATTCCCTTCCAGAATGGGACAAGTGGGGCCTCCCTCAGGAGCAACTCTTCATACATTTTTATCAAGGGCGGCGGCAAGTCTGGACATTGGCACACAAGCGATCTCGTCTACAGCAAGCAATCAACGCGTTTTAATCCTACACTTCTGTTCATGTTGGTGTTTGCCGTCAGATGGCTCATATGTTCTCTTGTCTGCGTTATGCGGAAAGTGAAGATACTTGACTGATATGACAGGCTCTTCTTTGGTGTCATACTACGGTTTCTGCACCAAGCTGGGTTGGGCTCGCATAGAGGGCGGCCGATGGGTGTAAGCCGACCTGAAGTGCTTTTTTGCCCATTGCTCCAACGGCAGTGCTACCTTGGCCTAATTGATATAGATTAACCTTTCTTAGGCCGCGGTCTGTCTTTTCTACCTCTTTCTGCGACAATTGCTCACCCTGCTGACTGGGATAACTGACAGCAGTTCTAAGGTAATCGTCAAACTTATGACGTAAATGCTTTTGCCCGCGGACTGACCCAAAAAGAGTTGCTAGCAGCGACTTGGTTCGAGTCCGAATCCGAACCTATCACCTCTACTCTCCATTATCTGGTCCACTTCACGGACTTTGTTTACACCACGACAACCGACCGTTCACCATTCAGAACAGACTCGTGCCAGACGGCCTCTACTGATCGTGCGGGCAGAAGAAGTGAAGCACCACGTTTTCTGCTCCACCAATATCGCCCACTATCCACGCTCACCCAGCACACACAACTTCGCCACAGTCTTGGTACGACCGCCGCGACCATGGACGACCACCGCGATAACGGTCCAAAATACGGCACGGCGAAGCGGGAGCCACACGCTCCCAACAAATCGGGGGTAATCGAGAGAGATTTCGCGGCGGAAATGACGACGACGACGATGGCGCTGTCGCCAACGCCGTCACAGGTGAAGCTAAAGAGGGAGCTGTGGAAGAGGTACAGGTTCCGTGACAGCGATGACGACGACGAAGAAGAAGGAGGAGGAGGAGGAGATGGTGACTACAACCCAACCGACGACAGCGACGGCGACATCGACAACGACGGCGGCGAACCGACCTCACTACGCCCCCAAGCCACGACGGCCACCACCACCACCACCACCACCCCGACGTCCCCTCCACCCGCCGCAAACCCGTCACCATCGCCCCGCCCCGCCGCCCCTACTACCGACACCGAAAATCCCTACCTCCCCCGTCTCCCAAACCACCACCACCGCCACCATCGCTTCCACCCCAACATTTGGCCACCGCCGCCGCCGCCACCGTTGCCTTTGCGCAAGCGTAACGATGGCGATGGCGATGGCGATGGCTATAACAATGGCGGCGGCGTGTTGACTCATAGCAAACGGAACCCGCGGACACAGTCGGCGACGACAACAGCAACAGCAACAGCAGCAACAGCAGCAACAGCGGCGGCGGCGGCGGCGGCGGCTGACGTTGAAGTCGGGGCCGTCGCGCGGTTACGTCGCTTTTTCTCGGCGAGGAGGAGGACGACGACGAGCAGCGGGTCGGCGGCGAGGGGGAAGGGAAAGAGAAAGGGGACGGTAGGTGAGGGGGAGGGGGAGGGGGAGGGGGAGGTGGGCGGGTTCGATGCGAGGGGGCGGGGGGATTTGGTGGGTGGGAGGGTTGATGGGAGGGTTGATGGTGATGGTGGCGGCCGGCGGCGGCATCATGGGTCAGTCGCCGTTGGGGAGGAGGAGGAGGAGGGCGGCGATGGCAGTGTCAGCGGCGGCTGGAGCAGCTGGAGCATCAGCAGGGGCGTCGCGGAGCTGGT